TTAATAGGTTTAGTAATGGTCTAAATGTCTGCTTTTTCACCTTCCATCATAATGCTGCAACAGAGTAAACCTAAAACCTTTTTTTCTGTTTACAGTTTTCCCAGCATAATCAAAATATGATGTAGTTGTTAATAGTAGTATGGCAGTTGCTCCATATAATACCCTTGTGGTAATATACCTTCATATTAATAATCTCTGGAGTTTTATTTTCCTCATAAAAGTCTTTGTTTTAAATAAGAAATGTGAAAAGTAATGCCAGCCTTAGCATGATGATTGAAGACCCTGCTGCTGCAAATGCAGAAGTGGCTTGAGGGATTGGAGCAGTGGTTGCCTATGATTTGTTGGGGAGGTTTTTGATTATTAGTTGTCAAGAAAGTTTGGGAGGTACGGGGGGGGGTGGTGGTGACGAATTAATTGGCTGTGCCCAGAACTTCTTGATCTCCCCAAAATAGTTGTGGTGCACAGTGGCATAGTTACAGTTAAATAGCTGAAAAGGTGAGTAAGGCTGTGTTCTTGAGCAAAACAGCTTATGTTCCTGTCACACAGAGCATTAAGTACCTGTTCAAGTGACTCTCATAAACACTTCTTTGGATTTCAGTGGGTTCATTTACTTGAATTAAATTAAACAGATGCTAAAAAGTTTGCAGGAACTTGAGTCTGTCTGAGCAATTTATTTTCCTGGTAGCTCTGGCTGCCCAGAAGTATTTACAGCGTGCTCTCACCTTCTAATAAACCTGGGAAAACACAAAAACTTGCAATCACACTTGCAATTACGCATTTGAAAGTATGAGACTTTTGCTAATAAAGTTCTGAATAGATGCCAAAAAAAATAATTACTTCAAATCACAAATGGCAGGGGTCAAATAAAACTTAATCTGAAAGAATCTGTGTGGAGATAGAAAAAGAGAGATCTCTGTTAAGAATAGTCCATGGAAAAAAAAAGCCTTCATGGAGGGAGCATGGGGTGAAAAAGAAATTTCCACAAGTTGACGTTTATCAAAAAGGGAAGGATCTTAGCAAATCCTTCATAGAAAAGGAAAAAGACCCAAAGATAAAATATAAACACCAGGAAAGATCAAGAATTTGTTCCTTTTTCCTTCCTCAACCCTCCTAGCTGACATGGTGATGAAAAGAGAGGATTAAAATGGGCTTCTTTAAAACCAAAGTTATATTAGGAAGTGATTAAAAGCACATTGTGTTCTGTATAGTGAAGTTTTGCTCTTTTTGGTCCAGAGTTGCTGCAAAACATTTTCAGAGGAGAGCAACAGAAAAGGAGAGGGGATAAACATAGATCATTCTAACTTTAATTATTAATGGGTAACAATATCTATGGAATTTTCCATTTGTTTTCCGGTCTGTCAGGCACTGTAAACCCAGTGCACTCCTGAAGACAGGCCTACATCCAGAAAGGATTTTGTGTCAGAAACTGCTTCAACACTTTTGTTTGGAGAACAGTTTTGAGCTGTGACTGCTGTAACAGTGAGAATTCACACAGGTAGGAACTAAGTTATGGAAGCAGGAGAATGGCATGGGAGAATCAAAATGTGTGCAAATACCCCCCTGCCCCGCCCCAAAAATGGATGAGGTAGAGAAATTTCTGAATGCCCAGCCTAGACAACTTGACCAGAACTACAGTTATTATTCCAACTGAAAACTTACTTGCAATGCACATGGCATGTGATTTTTGGAATCCTGAGGGATTTATCTTCCATACCTTGCACATATGCAGAAATACTGGCCTACTCTGGCTCTATGGAGAGGGCAAAGGCTTTGGTAAAGCTAGAAGTTTTCACTTCTTTTTTTCGCTTTAGGGTTTTTTTGTCCAGAAGCACCATCACGTGTTCATAGATCACTAGCATGGAACAGTAAGTTACTGTTACCCCTTCTGTCATACTCTGGGAGCTAACTCAAAAGAACTGTGAGTGAATTTAAGATTCAATGGTTTAAAATGCTTTCACAAGTCTCTGGGAATCTGGATGGGTTGGAGATTTCTAGGTAACCCATCTGTAAATAAAGGATCTGGTAAATCTAATTCTCCTCCATCGCCTAGATTTATTTTAGCTGTAAAATAATAACAGAGAAAAGTTAAATTTATTTTAGCTGTCCATGACTGATTGGTAGTATGAGCTGGTTAAGAATCCTATCCTTGATCATTGCTCAGTTGCTGTTGTGCCTCAGGCCTCTTCCCATCTAAAGGCCACCCAAGTGCTTTTACTAGGAGAGCCACATGTATGAACACTGGCTTCCATCCAGCCTGTAAAATACTTGTAATTATGGAGTCTCATTAAAATGAAATCAGTGAAACAGGGTTCTGCTCTTAAAAATGCCGCATAAAATCCAGACATCCTGAAGGCCTTTGTGCTTTTACTGTGAAATAATTCCTTCTGTTCTTTTTATCTGTATTAATTTAGAAAAAGTACTGTTATGATTAGGATGGTCACCTGGAAAAGTGCCCACAATCCAGAGGACAGTGCTGTAAAATCTGTTAAATAGCTGACCTCTGTTTTTTGGATACTGGGATGAAATCCACTAGCATATTTGAAATGGTGTCAGCCCCCCAGCAGCCTCATACTTCTTAAGTTGTGACAGGAATCTGCTAATGGTGTTCAAGAATTCAAAGATGGCTCATTATTGCTTTGTTTTTCCTACTAAGTTCATTCTCTCCACTTCCAAAATGCAAAATAAGGTATTTTAATTTTTCAGTTAATTTACTAGTGAGATTGGAAAGTACCGTCATCTGTTTTTCAGAGCTGTGACTCAGATTAAGGCACCGATCCTGCAGTGTCAAGAGGCTGTTTCACTGCTTGTGGCTGCTCCCCAGTGCAGTTTGCAGTTACCTGAAAGCCAGTCAGTTGAAGTGTGTGGAACAACTGTGGCTTTCTGATTTGGTGTGTGCACGCCCTCGATGAACTCCAGCTAACCAGCAGTGCAGTAAGCCTGAAAATCTTTAACACTTCCAACAGGTGCTGAGTTACAGAAATGGCTTACCTGGAAGGTGCTTTGTTGACGCTCCCATACAGGTTATATTCAGAGCAAAACCCAATAGGATTTTCTGTGTGTGATTTTAACTGGTTTAATTCAGGAATGGAACATCAAGATTAGCTTGTGGCACGGTGGCTCCAACATACATTGCTGAAAATCATCTGAATTTTAATGATTGTGGGATGTACAGGGATGAAAAAAGTTGGCTCTCTAATTTCAGGATTCAGTCTCCATTTCTGTATGAATGGAAGGAAACAAGAATGTGATCTCTTATATCTTTAGACATTTTTCTTTTTTATTTTCATGTACCAAATATGCATCCTTGTATCTCTTAAAAATACATCACAGGTCGATTTTTGTGCCTAAGAGGAATTTCAGTTGTTTGGAAAAGCAGAGTCTGAAACTTTTTCCTTAACAGTTGAAGCCAATAGATGCTCCCAGTAGTGAAGTTTCTTTCCCTTTCCTCTTAATTGCAAGCACCAGCAAAAAGCTGTAGTTAAGACACTGACAATAGAATAAATAGCTGACCTGATGGAGTGTGCTTGGGCTGTAGCCAGGAATCTCATCCATAGATACTCTCTGCTTTGGGAAGTAGTTCTTTCTCTTGGCTTTGTAAGTCTTGTAACCTATTACAAAGATTTTTTTTTTTTGCTTTGTTTTAAACTAAATCTTTATTTTTATAAATAATCAAATCCCAACTAAGTGGTCTGGTAGATTGTGACTCTCTTGAGAATAGGAGGGAATAATACTATTTGTGAATTATAGATTGTTTTTGCTTTTACTTATATCAATGTACATCAAAGAATACGTGTTGTGAATTTATTAGGTTTAGATAACCCTGAGTGAGACTGGTATTATAGCTCAGTTCTGTAAAACACTGTGTTATTTCCAAAGTACCCTGTAATAACATCCATGGTCTGCAATTCTGTTCTCTCGCAAGCTCCAGCATGCAGAGACTGCAGCATAAATGTATCATCGGCATATTAATTATCTGAATAATCAAAGTGAGTGCCTACAGTTGCTGTTTGCTGCAGGTTTCATCTGGGGGTCAGAAGCAGAGGCAGTGCCAGTTAAATAACAGCTTGCTCCAAACTGTTGGAGACCAGGGTTGACCCCACATGAAAGGAAACCTACAGCTGTGTGAGGAGCCAGATGTTTCTTCCTGTTCTACCCATGTGGGGTTGTTATGGGAACATGAGTCTAAGAACCACTAATGTGGCAGCAGGTGAATTAAGTCTTTAAAGGGTATAAATGTAAACCATAGCATTCAGCTTGATACACTGGTCATGGACTAGTGCTTTACATTGTTTAACCAGGGTATTTGTCAGATATTGAGTGGATGGAAAGTGTTTCTTGCTGACTCTTTTCATTGGGTTTGTCATAGGTGTTTTGTCTGTGAAATTTGTTCATGTATTTTATTGGCTGTTGGTGATGCAGATGAGTAATTTAAAGAGCACAGAGCTGGTTCACAAAGGGAAAAATGTGATACTTCAAGAAATGAAAAATGATAGCCATGAAAGTTGCATTTCTGATCTTGTAGGGAAGACTAGAACTAATTTTTTTTTTGTGTTTGTTATCTGGATAATCAAAGTTAATCACCATTTTTTAACACTTTGGATTTAAAAAATAATTGTTTCCGTAGAATTGCCTCATAAATTTAAACTAGCAACCAGATTGGTTCTTCCTGCTGAGAAAGTCATAAAGATTGCTTGGGGGGTGTCATGTTTGTGGTGGTATTTATGTGACTATTCCAACTCGACTGCTCATGTGAAAAGGGCAATCTTTCACAAAGTCACTGGGTTTGCAGGAAACTTCAAATTCTGAAATCACTCTCTCCAGAAAGAGTAAGGAAAAAGCCAGTCTAAAAGCAAAACTTAACAGGTAAAAATTGAGGTGAAATACCATTCAGATTTTCAGAAGCCTCACTTTTGTGTTCCCCAAAATAATGCTGCCTGTGATCTACTTCTGTTTCTTATATCAGTTTACATATTTAAATATATATTCTCATTTTCTTTTAGGTGATCCTGATCCTTACCAAGTATTATCATACTGACATGGGGAAAGTACTGGAGAGCTCTTTGTGGAGGTAAGTTCTCTGTTTTTTCTATAACCTTCCCCCCTGCTGTTCTTGGAATAGATCCATCTCTTCCTTTTCCAGACTGCTGCTGATTTGAGTTGGTAGCTGACTGATAGTAATGTAGTATTATACAGATTGTCATTGGCTCTTACTCCTTCTCTTCAATGTAGTTCCTGTACGTCAATAAGAAAGAGTTTGAAATGAACTTTAACAGTAGAGATGAACAATGATAGAGAATATAAGGAACCTTCTTGATGCCACTTTGCAGGATGCCTTGCTTTTCCTTTTCCTAGAAATTTTGCATCAAATTTACATAAAAAGTTTGGAATGGTTCCTGTGTTGGGATGTGTCTGTTGGGAGTTGTTGCTGCTTGAGTACTGTACCGAGCTTAGTAAATAATCCTGCTTCAGAAGCAATCATGATTGTCTGGATGGAATGTACTACCAGTGTAGGTTATATTGTGTTTTATGACAACTGGGAATAAGTAGTAATCCAAATAAATTTCTGATTGACTCTCGTTCCTGTAACGTTTGCGGATTAAGATATCAATATGCTTCTTGCCTCCGTGTGTGCACAGATTGCACGCTCAGGTGTATATCAGCACAGAACCAGGGCTAAGGTAAATCTATGTTATACTAGTCATACTGGTTATCTTCCCAAGTGTTAGTTTTGTTTTGCTAAGGGGGCTTTTTGTGCTCTAATTTTTTTGTGTATCTGTATGAATCTTCCACAAGAAATTTTTGCTAGACCCATCATGTACACTTGAAAAGTGAAAGTATTTCACTGTTATCAATAAATATAATACTGCTCAAATGTTTGCTATGCTAGTTTTACTGGTTATCTGTAGCAGTAGAAATAAATGACAGGAGACTTAGTTGAGCAGTCTTGTGTGAAATTCTTATGTAGCTCATAAGCTTCAGGTCTAGAAAAAAATGGTTTGTCTAAAACCTTGTGGCTTAGGTACTCATAAACTTCATATTGTCCCAAGAGCTTGTGTGGGGACTCAACCTTCATCTGTATGTGTAAGGAGTTGTACAGAGACAATCCAAGAGAAGGAGTGGGTAGGGGAATAGAGAGTGGGAGAAGCCTATGAACAGGACATGCTGCACACCAGCCTTGTTACTTGTTTTGAAGGAGGCAGCGTTGTTTTAACCCTGTGGGATTTCTCAGTGACAGTGCATCTGCAGTGGGTTATTGTTATACCAGTGGCTAAGGAGTGCAGTCTGGCCAGGGCCAGTGGTCCATGCAGGGCAAGGGTATTTTCAAATAAAAAGGAAATTTCTGGTCATAGAAAGGGGGTCTTCAGGAAAGAGAGTAAGATCAAATGGAGGCTGCTTAGTATTGGCTCAGGACTGGCCATTTTAGGGCTGTGATGGTTCATTTGTAACTATCCTTTAAACTTACAAAATGCAAAATTAATTGCACATTTGTTTCTGTTTTAATTTCTGTCCAACATCTTGTGCAAAGAAGACAACCAAATGGCAATTTGGATACTCCCAATTGCGTAAGCACACATTGCTTTCCTATTATATGCCAGTGGCCCATGCAACATGTGCAATATGTTTCAAGTTTTGCTCTCCACGCTTCAGTGTAATCTATCATACAAGGCTTTTAAACTTATTCAGTTGGACTCTTCAAAATAAACTCTCTGTTCTTTTAAAATAAACATAAAACAGGCTTCAGATAATGTTGCTTTCTTTTAGGAAAATAAACCCTTTAAACAATGTCATTCAGACCTTGCTGACAGCTGGTATAAAGAACTGGTGTGAACTGCATTCAAATAAAATGATACTAGTGTGCATCATCAGGAAATTCCAACCCAAACCATTCTGTGATTCAGTGATTTATAAAACTAGGATGGAAAAGCTGAAAGGAAGCAAGTGCTTAAGATTAGCACTTGGGTCAGGGGTCGTAGCTGATCCATGCCTGGATATGTTCTGGTCTGGGCTCACCTCTTTCCTCTACTTCTGCCCACTGTGGCGTAAAAGTGGCACATGCAGTTGTAGGACTGGGGGAGCTACAAAGTGCCTGGGTCGGGAAAAGCACAAATCAGACCAGCTACTGCAAGAATATCAAGTAGTGCCTCTCTGAGATGTAGCTCATTATTTGTACTAAATTACTGAACAAAACTGTCTGTGCAGTCAGGGAACTGCTTTGTTATTCCCTGCCTAAAATGATTGGAGCTTCACCAGTTTTCACCCACGTTTGTTGATGGAACTGGGGTGTTGCACTCACAGTGGCAGCCTGCCCAGAATGCATAGTGTATATATTTTTCAACTTTTTTGTTTGGTTCTCTTTTACATTCCTCTCATTTGCATCAGAACAAATATGCAGTAAAACAGGTGTGAAAAATGGTATGGGTTTTTTTTGTCAGTGGAGAAATGCCATTAATCTGTTTCTGTGCACTAGGGGGAATAGACTCTGTCCAACTATTTCCTGAATTGGTTCAATGTTTTTCTTCCTGGCTAGATCATACCAGATACAATGTTCTCTAAGTGACTTAGTCACTAAGTGAAAATAAACCAGTTTTATAATCTGATCAGTCCCCACCAGAGTAATTTTTTTAATGTCAATCTCCCAGTTTAACTTGCTGGTCGGTAAATATTATCCTAGCTGGGTGTTTATCAGTTATCTAGTTTCTTGAAACTGCATCTTTCTTCCTCTAAAACATATTTTCCTCTTCATTTCTTTGTTTTTCTCTCATCACTCCAAAGAATTTTTTCTTCTTGCTTAGTGAAACAAAGAATGAAAAAGGATGGTTCAATGATGCTTTTTTTTGTTCTTAGTAACCTTGGAGTTGCAGTCAGACTTTTAAAAACAATGCAAATGGTGGTGAAAAACACCTGTCGGTGGTAGATGCCTGGGTAGGGGGAGGTTATGTGAAGAAGATTTGCAGGTGAATGAATCTTGGTGACATTGTTTCTGTGCCTCTGCAGAGCACTGTTAGTTTGTGTAGGTAATTTGTGCCTGCCCAAATAAGTCAGGTTACAGGCTTGAGAGGCCTAAGTTTGTATTACCTTGGAATTTTTTCTTGTTGAATAAACAAGGAAAATAGTACTGGATACTGAAAGCCTTAACAAGTTTTTTACTAGTAGCAGCCATGTCTGGCTGCACTGAAGAGGTGAAGACAAAATCTTGGTGGAAGTATGTAGTTAGAAAACACCAGTGTGCTTCTCTAGTCAGCTATTTCTGATGCTTTCCTAGTTTGCTTATTAACTAATTGTTCAGATTGGGGTACATTGAATCATTATTTGACTCAAATAATCCAGGGAAATAAATAGAGATGACATTGGTTGCCTCTTGAATATAAACTAAAATAAATTTTTGAGAAGAAACAGAGAGTTGTTTTTGGGTCTACTTTTGTGGTACGTACTGGGAAAAAGTACGTTGGTTGGTTGTTGTGTTAGGCCTCATTAGCATAATGAAAAAACTGATGCTGTGACTAAAACTGAAAATTCAAGTACCAGAATTATTGTCATGAGTTGTGCATACATAGAAGATACTTTGCACACTAGTGCTGTTCCTGTCAGAGCCCACACACATATTTATTCAGCACATTTACAGTATAAAGGAGCTGAATCAAACTGACCATTTAGTTTGTGTTTTCATACGCTTTATGGACCAACTTTTGCATAAATATATTGGTGCACATATTTTACAACCTCAGGTACCTGTTTGTACGTGTTGTATGCCTGCAACTTTAGATGTAAATACTTGAATCTTACAGTCAAATAGTTTAACTTTGACTTGGCAGCCCCTAAAAAATTAATGCTAGTGCTTATCTGTACATCTGAGTTAAAATTATTCCTAATAATGTCTCTTGGAAATATAGATTGTTATTATTCCATTTTTGCATGACACAACTGAAGTGGTAATTCTGCTGAAGGTTATGCAGTGACTCAGCACTGTACAGCCATGGAATTGGCTTCCAACCCAGTGCTTAGACTGGCTTTGAGTCCTGTTTCTGGTATGAATGCAGCCTTCCCTTCCTTAGCTTGATCTCAACAATGAATAATAGATGCTGCTGCTGATTGCTAATAAAGTTTTGATTGCATATTATCGAGCTGTAATGATATGGTAGTGCTAAAGTGGCTTGCTGTGTAATTGCCATTGTTCCCAATGGCATCACCATGTTGTTATTGCTGCACCAAAGCAAAACAAACGGCGTTCCTTGATGTTCACTGCAGATCTTAGCACTGCATGCTCAGTGCTAGGTGGGCCTGCTTTCAGGTGCCCCATGTTATCAATAAAGAAATGCTAAATGAAGAAACAGACTTCCCCACCTCCTTAAATATGGTTGGATGTCCCAGCTGAACTTCCTGGGACTCCTAACTCCAAATGCAGCCTGAGGAGGGAGCAAAGTCACAGTGCTGTGTGAGGAGGTTGTAAGTCCAGGTCAGTGGCTGGGCAGGTGGAGGTGAGAGCAGTTGGGAGAGCCTTACTGACAGCATGATGCTTGCCAAACCTCAAGGAGTCAGGAATAGCCTTTGGTGTCACAGCTGTTTCTGTCTGCACCCACAAAAAGTCAGGTATTCAAGGGCAAGACTCATTTGAGCAAACCCACTGGCCGTCAGGAGCGATCGGTGCACAGAGACTGCATGATGCTTTGGGCATTCCCACAAAGTGCATGCCTACACTAAGGTTAAAATCCAGACTACAAAGAGCAGGAGATTCTTATAAGGTGATGCAGTGAACAACATACTGCTCAGGAAAGTAAAATTTCCAGACCCTGCGTGGCTCACAGAATGTGTGAAAATGAATATGGACATTTGTTTCCAAACTGTGGACTTGTAGATGAAACTCATTTTACCTATTTCCTGAAATTAATTTAAAAAGCAAACAAAAAACTCAATATACAGTCTAGTGCCTCAGTGAAATTTTTGGTCTGAAGTGCTGCTTAATAAATGAGCAACTGTATTCTGCAGCAACTTGAACTTCCAGATGGCCTTATATTGTTGTTCTGCTTTGAAAAGTGACTTTGCAGAAATGGCCCCAAGGGATGGAATTAT